ATAGATAGATAGATAGATAGATAGATAGATAGATAGATAGATAGATAGATAGATAGATAGATAGATAGATAGATAGATAGATATACTTTAGTCAGAGTAACATTTATTTGCAGATTTGTGTTTTATTTACACTGAATTGGTACTTACTGGGTAGAACTGTACGAGGAGTTTCTGCAGAATAAACAGGGCAACAATGTGTAAAAATAAAGAAAAGACGTTTAAGCTCTTTTTAACAAATCAATTTGTCTCAGATCAGTTTCTGTTCAGGTGATGTTGCAATAATCAACCTTTGGTTTAACTGGTTACCTTGAACGTGGGACTCATGGGGCCATAGCAGTTTAATGGCTCCTCGCCATCACTGAACCCTGCCAGCCCACTGCTCATCTCCTCACTCCATCTTCTTTGGCTCTCCTCACATCTCTGAAACAAAGAGTTGATTCTTAACTGTTGGTATTTCGTTGTTTTTTTTGTGAGAAGGCCTCATCCATGATTATTCTAAACCAAATTCAAACCTCATGAAAGCCAGAGTATGGCATAAAACAAGCAGCTTTGCAGATGTGTTCATTTGGCTTATGTGCACTGTTGGGTTTAGGGGCACAAGACTAATGAATAACAGGAAGCAAGCTGGTGGTTAAGAAAAAATACTGGAATTTGCTCCAGGATCTTACATCATTGTTGAGTTTGTCAGGTAACATTTCATTATCCATGGCTTTCCGTGAGCCAAAGCGGCATTCTTTCGATTTTATTACTTTCAACTTTGAAGCCAGACTTGGGCATGTTACAACAGGTCCACATGTGTTTGAGTCATTTATGAAACACAGGAGAGAAAAGAGGGTAGCTCATTAAATGTTTCACTTGACTTCTAAAGTATATATTTCTACACAAGAGAAGTTCTAACAGAAACCTATTATCTTACATATTTAAAACAAATTTTAACTATATACATTGTAGGAATGGGGATCTCTTGATAGTTGTAATTTAAAATTATTCACAAATCATCTTTTCTTAGCGATTTAAAAATATCTTTTTGTAAAAGTAAACCTGCAGATACCATCTAATTGCAATTTCTTATCTTCTCTCTTTTCATTGATCTCATATTCAGTTTTAGGTTAAAATAAGTTTTAGGGTTAAACCAAACCAAAAAAACAGCTTTTAGTAGACAGAAAGAGTTTAAGTACATCACTGCAGAGCAGGTGACAGTTATGAGAAATACATGATTGTTTTGTGATTACACTTAGGGAAGGGAAACTTTTAGCTGCCTCCTTCACTGCTGCTTTGTGACTCCGTGGCTTCATGAGAGACAAGATCAGTACTGTAAGTTGGTTCATAACAGTTTTGTTAAGGTTAAAGCTGTAATGGGAATTCTGTTTTAGCATAAACTGAATCCTTTTTTTTATAGTTAACTATTTTAGAGGCTACTCTAAAGTACCTGTAAAGGTCATATTTAAGAAACTAAAAACATGTGAAAAATGTACGGAATGGGTAAAAAACCCAACAAATTCCACATAATAAAGAAAACCTAACCTTTTTGGTGTTGGTTGTTGAACAACAACCAACATTGACATTGAATATCTATACATTGAGTATCTATACATTCCTGCCTTAAGATATTTGAGTAACATAAATCTAGGAAAATGCATATGCAATGAATGATATGCCAATGGTCTTTGCATCTGGAGAAACTAATATAATCAGGATTAGTTCAGAGGTAGATGTTGCAAACCTTGTTTTTCAGTGCATAATACTCCTCCTGCTCCTTCTCTGCTGCCCAGTGTGCCTGTTCTTTTCTGATTTCTTCCTTTTCTTCAACTGTGCAGATCAGCTCTTTTTGCTCCTGCACTTTTTCGTTTGAGCTCTGTCGCTCCATCTGCAGTGTCAGCTTTACATTCTCTTCATTATCCTCATCCTTCCTCATCTGCTCCTCTTCCAGCCTGCTGGGTCCACCACATTGGTCCAAGTTCCTGAGATAGAAATTAAATTAAAAATAACAAAAAAAAATATTATATACACTTTTACTAAGTAGTTTGAAAAGGATTTGAGTTCCTTATGTTATTTCACCAAACTTAGATGGAGCTGTCGTACTTTAGTCAGTTGATTAAATGTTTAAACTCAACATTAATTTTCATGTCTCTAAGTCTACCTACCACATTTTAAATACACAGTCTGCAGCAGTTATTGAGGTTATTATCTGCTTTCATGTACAGAGTATGTTAACAATTATAATGAGAAGCCCCAGAAGAAAAGTTGCAGACATTTAACAAGAGGTTAGACTGTGATTAGTCCTGACCGTGTCTTCATCGTCCCTGCTGCCAGGTATGACGTCCTGTCTGCAGAGTGTCCTGCAGCAAGGTGTTGCCTTGTATCCTGTGACAGGAAGACAGAGGAGCTGTATGATGTCCTGGCTGGAGTTTTAGAGCTGAATATCTGGAATACACCAAAGAGGCAATGAAGATAATTTTGTAATTTGGTAATTCAGAAACTAAAATTCAATAATGCACAAAAGCAAGTTTTGAAAGGACTGCTGAGTTTTGACAGACTCAGTGATTTGTTGGCTTCTCTTGGAAACTAATGGTGAACATATAAAGCTGAATTTCTTTGTGATCAAACTCAGCTTTAATTAGTTCTGCACTAACTAATCTTATCTCAGCTGCATTTATTCTTAGAGGTGCTTTTTAAAATTTATATCTCCAAAAAGGCTGCATTTGCATTCATCCAACTGTAAGGGGATCATTATAAGGCCAACATGAAGAAAAGGTAAACCGTTTCTGAACGTTGTGTTGAAGCTTCCTCAGTTTCCCTTCCTCCATGCTCCCCTTTGCCCTCCTCTTCATCATGTTCATGCTTATAGTCCCCAGGAACTGATGCTGCAGTGGGTTTCACTTCCTTCGTCCTGAAGTTATCTAGCGCATCCTGCTCATTACGGTTTTCCAACCTCTGGCTCCAGTCGCTGAAACCTTCGTCCTCCTCCAGGACGAAATAGGAGGGTTTCAGCTCCTCATCAGACCTAAAAATAGAGCAAAAGTGTTGGGCGGTTAGGTTCTGTTTTCCCTTCAGGTAAAAGCAACTAACTGCAGAAAACCCAATGAGCCCATTACCTGCAGGATTCCCTGGGGATTTATAGTGTAAATAGGCATGTCAACTTAGAAAATAAGAATTACCGCTGCACACTAAGTTTATCAATATGTTATGGTTCTTTCTCTTGAACAGTACCACCAGAAAGTAAGTTTGCATTTGTCTCACAATTTTTAGATAAAACTCATTTTAATATCAGATTAACCTAAAATCTAAAAAAAAAATGAATAAAAGTATTTGATCTTAATTAATCTGGTACAGTTTAAAAATGTAATTTCTTAGTGATGTTAGCTCCATCCTTGGAAACAAAACTGCCATTAAGCATTTCTGATAACTGGTTATAAAGGATTTTACCCCGATTCTCTTTGCAAAATTGTTAATTATCACCTGCAAGGTAAGGGTATTTTCAGGCATGGGCCGTGACTTTAGTGAATAATTAATTAATTATAATTAATTTATTTAATCAATTAAGAACATAGATTGATGTTGCATGATTTACTAATGACTATCTTGTTTTTTCCATCAGCTTAATGTGATTAATGATTGCTACCACAAGGTGGTGATGATGCACCTAATGCTCATCAATTCCATCTACTTACCTGCTTGTTCTTAGAGGTAGAAGCTGGGGCCTCTCTGCAGCTCTCATTAGGAGAGAGTATAGCCTTGACAGAAATTCTGTCTATCAAAGGGCAACAAGAACCATACAACCATGGAAAACACATAATACCTAAGGGCAATTCAGAGAGTCCAGTTAACCCTACAGCCATGTTTTTGGTATGTAGTATGAAGCCAGATTATTGAAAGATAATCACATGCACAGCAGCGTGCACCCAAAAAGGAGCTAAGATGCTACTAAAAACTAAACAATGATGTTTTCTAACAAAACTGAAATCATCCTTAAGGAACCAAACTGCCTTATCACCTGTAGGATTAATGACTACAAACCTTAGGGATTTGGTTCAGTTACATCAGCCATTGGATTACAATTACTCAAGACTCTGATAAAATAAACACGCACTGAAAAGCTACTGTTTCAACTAAATAAAAACACAAAGATGTAGGCTAAAGCTACCTAGACAATAGGCTTAAATTTGTGCTTTAAACTCTACCCAGAGAGCTGATTGGAGGAGGAAGTGTGTTTTTATCAGTAACATTTTTTATTCTCATTTGCTCCATTTTTATTATTTCCATTTGTATTGAATAGCGTTTATTAAAGACATTTGAAATAAAATCGTAACAGCTTTTTCTTGAATTCCATATCCACTATTCTCTTTCCTGTTTCTGAAGAATTTCATGTTAAAGCTGAACAAATAATGAGAGTAATTTCAACTGTCTAAATGTTTACTTGCTCCTGCCATTGCTTAATGTCTTAATCACAGATCCAAGGCTTTCTAATGTTGCACAAAGGTTGTGAAGGAGCTGAAAGAGGAAATGCAGATGGTAGACAGGGCCTGTGTGATCAACAGAGACAGTAACCACGGAAACATGAAAAAGAGAAGCAAACAGTTGGCAGTTTAAGGTTTCGATATCAGACGGCAATTTGGAAATGTAGCTTACCTCCTTTCAGAACAGTTAATCCCTTAGATTCACATATATTGACAGATATTCTTTTTTTTTTGAAAATTTAACGACAGTTTCTATTTCTATGTTGCATGGTGGCCCAGTGTGAACACCCTTCATTTTGTTGTGCCTCTACTGATAATGATAATGAAAATTGGTATTTGGTTTAATTCAACTTGGCTGAATCTTTTTAATTCTCTTTGTCTGTAACTGACCCATACATTAGTAAATAAATGTAGAAAAATTAGATTTTTTTACTAACATCTTAAAGCATATTAGTAACAGTAGTGATTATATTAGGGAAGAATAGTTATTATAATTAAGATGAAAAAAAAAACTCACATGGCAATGTGTAAAAAAGTGACTTTTAATTTATCACATCTGAGTTCATTTTCACAATCAGCAAACCCCAAATAAGACCTGCCTTACAAAGGGAAGTACACTAAAAGATCCTCAAAAAACTAAACATAATTGTAGTGATACAAAGAAATTCAGGAACAAGTAAAAAATGTAAGTAATTTAGATCTATCAATATGGAAAGGGTTACTATGCCATTTCTAAAGCTTTGGGACTCCATCAAACCACTGAAGGGTCATTATTAATTAATAACAACAACGGTGAACGTGGTGAAGCTTCCCAGAAGTGGTCAGGTTACTAAATTTACATCAAGAGAGCAGTGCAAATTCATCTGAGTAGCGATGGTTCATGAATATAGGGGTGGTTAGGTAGGGGCTAAGGTGCACTGAATGGTGGCAGAAAACTGATAGGCACCAAAAACCTCTTACAGTCAGTATATACATTTTCTAAATAAATAACTGAAGACAGACCAGAATTTAATTTGGTCCCTGCTGATAAATTTATTTGCACATTGGTGCCATTTAGGTTAATTTATGGTTGTACATAATATATACTTTAAATGGTTTCAGTAATGTTTTTCATCTTTAAAGAAGACTTCTACAGTAGGAGACAAACTCTACCCTATAAAACCTAAAAACTACTTCATAAAAGGGCAAACATTCTGTGTTAGTCCTCTTTAATTGTTGTCATTTTGAATTATTTTTTGCTACATTTTTTTATTCAGTTATTGGTTAATATACCAGCGTTAAAATGTCAAAAAAGGAAATTCTTTATGATGGTATCACTGCTGCCACCATCAGGCTTATACGAGACCTGCTTGTTCCAGGATTATCTTATTACATCCCAGGGGGAACAACAACCTGGAAGGTTTAGCCTGGTACTTGTAGCCACAGGGGTGGCCAATGATTGGCTAGGATGGCTATGCCCCCCCTGGACACCCCTCTAGAACCACCCCTGCATCTAAGAGGTCATAAAATACCCACAGTTCTCAGTTATGATCTGTGTTCTTGACTTTGCCATAAGAAAGAGAAAGGGCAGAAATGGGAGCATGCATCAGTTCAAAGACTAAAACCATTGTTGAGCATTAAGCCTAATCTCAGAACCCATACCATAGATGAAAAAAAGAATAATAATAATTATGAAGGAAGCTTTATAAGGCCTTACGATCATGTGTTTAGGTACCGAGTCCATTTGAGCCAGCTAGCTTTTGTCAAATATCAATGTGCTCTAATCACACCAGAATAATTCAAGCCTGCCACCTGCTGGGAGATGTCACATATACAACTGTAAGTATGAATTTAACATTTTCTTAAGATCGAGACAGCTAGATGCAGATTGATGCATGGTCACTATGAAAAATCCTGCAGCAGATGAGTAAAATTGTACAAAGGCAGAAGATGGCAAAGGAATTAAACAACCCGATCATAAAACAAACAAACAAAGTAAAGGACCCCCAAATGTCTAATAACCATAAAGGTGTCAGGAAAAAAAGCTCGTAGAGTAAAAGGCGATGAATCTCAACAAATATCCTTATTTCTATCTAGTGAGGAAATTAAAAAGGTAAAAAAGCTCCCCTGACCCCTTAAAAAAAGAGAAATGAACAAGCGTTCAATTCGGTTATTTGAATAATAATAATAATAAGAAGAAAGTAATGTTTTCTATCTTAAAATATGGCTTTTGGTAGCATATCTTAAGACACAGAGGCTTAGATTTGTAACGTTTTTTTTTGTAAAATGTTTCTGAAATGATAGAAATGTCTTTGAATTTTCTGTCACAATCTTTTGCTTATGAATCTATGATAGTTGGAGGACTCAAACAAGTACAGTTCTGTTATACTCACTCTGTGTTGTGAGTAATATTTTCATGTTGCTGGGGCTCTGGGAAACAGAGGATCCCTTCTTCTCTCTGCTTCTCCCTGGCTTTCCTTCTTCGCTCTCGTTCAATCTCCTCTGCATCCTCCTGGCTTCGCTGCGCTGTCACCCTACAGCCAGCAAGGACAAAAGCAACCACCAACAGACATGTACTGATCAGTTTTATGGTAAAAACTGTACTTTTATAAATTAAAGACTTCTCTCTAACAAAAACTATTGCACATGCCAAGTCTGACAACATCTCATGTTTGAGGAAAACAGGTCATCATAGGGGCAAATTGGACCCATGCAACTAGTGGTGCTGTTATCAACTTTTTAAGACGTATTTCTACAGTTTGTCCATAATATGTCTACAGTCTGCCCACGGATATTCATGCACCCATGTCCCCCGCTTTGAGCATTAAAACAAACACTTTTATTAGGTCAAAAGCAATGATGAATCGTCCAGTTGGTGAGAACTACTTTGATCACTTGCAAAAGGAGATAAGCTAATTTAAAAGTAGAACAAAGAAAGCATCAGAAATTCAGTAAGGATAATGAGTGAGGATATGGCGACTCTGGATAAGCTAGAAAGTTACATAGAGCTCCACAGCAGGAAGCTGTATACCAGACTGATTAAGAGTAGTCAGAACTAAAATCAACATAAATTTAGGATTTGTTTAGGTGATGTAATTTGATTAGAGGCAGATTTATATTGACCCAAAGCTGCAATGAAATAAATATAAATAATGAAAGCCAAAACTAACTTGCTTACCTTTGGATAGAGCTAAAGATTATGCAAAAAAAGTCTGATTCTCAAGTACTCACACTCAGAAACTATTTATAAATTCAGATATAAAATAAAACGATATCCTAAAAAATATCTGTTTTCTATTCTGTTGGGTAACAAATGCATTAGTGGAAAAGTTTTTGTTTGAAAATCTTTTCCATTAGTTAAAAGGTGAGAAGACGAAATTTTGTTTTAAGAGAAAAATCATCACATTTCTTTTTGTGTTGGTTTCCACTGGGAGAAATTAAACAACAATAACAGCCTTCATTGTTCAAGCACATCTGGATAAACTTGATTCAGCTGCTGAGCAGTTTCACTTAATCTGAACCTTGTGAGAAAGCAATGCAGGAACTGGACAAGGAGTGGTACCTTAGGTAATGGTGTAGAAGCAGGATGGTGTTGGACTCTATTACACTTTGGTGTGGAAAACAATTATTATGAAAAGCATCTTAAATGACTTGAAACATAATTAAGAAAATCTCTGTAGCTTAGCACCACGTGAGACCTGCTAGCTTACATGGTCACTGATGAGGAGATTTCATGGGACAAAATGGGTAAGAAAAATTAACTTGTGGTTTGGCTGTTATGTTATATTATTATGGCACTAATATCGTTCTAAATGAATCTGATGTAAGAGGGCTGCATTGCCCATTTTGTGGGAGTTAGTGGGTCAACTGGGGATAAAGTTGGGTCTGTTTCTCTTCACAGCTGACAGAAATAATCTCCAAGGGATGGAAGCATGAAGCACATATTGATTGGTTTCACATTTTAACCCAGTCACTACGATTTATAGTCACTTATAAGGCATAAACCATGTCTGCAAAGCATGACAAAGATTCTTAGGGATCAAATTCATGTTTTTCAAAGTCCTTTAGAAAATGTTCTGAGTATTTGCAAAGAAAGTCATTTTAGTAGTAATATTTATCTATTTTCTTGCAGGATACAGAGTGAAGATAATGTAAAGAATTAAAATATCTGTGTCCAAAATTGAAATGTTCAAGTTTTTAGAATATCATTTAGGCTTGGTTGGAAAAGTATCATGTCTCTCACACATGGCAACAGTAGGCAGGCAGGTTAAAGGTTAAAATTCTGGGTTTTCTTAACAATCTCTCTTTAGGATGCATTCTTTCCTATGACTACATCAAAAGATGAATGACTAAACATACAACCTAACGCACTCCATGCCCAACCACTCCAAGAATGGATTTTTATAATGAATTCTCCTTACTGGTTTATTTCAGTCTAGAGAAGTCTGGAACAAGTTGTAGACACATGAAAAGGGTAGCAATCTTTGGGGATAATGCCTCATTTTCCTGAATAACAGCAGTTCTGTTTTTCTATTGATTGGAACCACCTCTGTGATTTCCTTTCTTTGCTGCTGTATCTACTTCAATTTTGTAACTCTTAAATGACTAGTTGTTGTGTCTAGAAATACAGCCTTTAGTTTATTTAAATATACTCTTTAATAATGTGGCTAATCAGATCCAATAGAAACCATTGGTTTTATCACCAGATATTCAATTAGTTTTCATAATGACAGAAACAGACCATATGTCATCAAATGTCTTATTCAAAATTTGTATGGAAATTGCTTTGTTTCCATTGTGTGATAATTTTATACTAGTTTCATCTTTTTTAATTTAAAGGCAAAGCTATGGTATGAGAAATCCCGCAGTACTTGTCTGACCTGCTACCTTCAGACTACCAGCTGTGTTTACTGCCTCTGTCAGATCTAACTTACCATTTGGCTCTTCTCTCCCTTAACTTATTCACTTCTGTCTCAATACTTGTTCTTAGGTTACTAGCTGTGTCTCCAAATCTCAATAAACCTTCCCCAGGAAAACATTTTTAATAGCACCTGAATCTATGCTTTAGTTTTTACACATTATCAAATTACATACTGAGCAAATAATGATTAAAAACTTCTGAACAACATAGTCTTTGGTCAGGTGTCATTTAATAGATCTCTGGATATGGATATGGTCAATGGAAAATATGCTGAGACACTGTTTAAAGTTCTATCTTTGTAGTAATTTTTTAAAAAATACGATGAATTCTTGTTAGTTTGGTGTTTTAGTTATTCATTACCTTTTTACAGCAATGGAAATTCAAAGTTGTTTTTACATAATAGTTCCTTAATAATTAGCATAGCATCCAAATTCATAACATTTGAACATAAAACAATATTCAATGATGTAGTGGCGGTTACAGCAAACACAGATGTTGTCAAATTTATTCATTTTTTTGAAAGAAGCTGATGGAACATAAAGAATAGCAGAAGCCTATTTAACAGTTAAGGAGAAATGAAGACTACGTCATATTAAACTTTAAAATAATCTCAAATAGGACTTCTTGTGGCAAAGATTTGTTGTTGATAACACTTTATCTGTAGACAAGCTACATACTTAATGTGACACCAACCTACGTGTTTGCACCTTGTAAATTACCTGCACACTGTATGGGCTAATGTATAATAAAACATCTGTTCTATAAAACTGGCAGTTTGTGCTCAGTTTATTGTCTCTTTTATTTAACGTTGTCATTTATAAAAAATGCAGGGCTGCAGGGCACATGTAGCAACAATCACAGTGCATGGCAGTCTGGCCTGCCAGTTGTCCCTAAGGTATTCTGGGACATTTAACATGATGATGTGGAGCTGTTATGTGCAGAAAGCAAATTATAGAGGAGATCTGTTCGACAAACATCACATTTTCCACCACCTCAACAATGAGGCAATGAAGTCTTTGGGAACGGCCTTCTCTTTGTGTGTGTGTTAGCAGAAGGGGGTTCTGGACCCAGCCAGATGATGTCATGGCTGTTAAGGAGGACGCAATTACAAAGGAAACCATTGAATGGAGAGTTGTGTGTCATTTTCATTATAGTTATCTAGTAATTGTCCTCAACAGCTAGATAAGTAACAATGATGAGGGTTGACTGGAAGTAACAATACACAGAGAACAGTTTAAGTAAAACTAGATTAATACTTTAGTCAAAAGTTACGGACTGTTACTTTAAATTCTCTTTGAATAAAATTGATAGAATAATGCTTTGTCAATGTGCACCGAATGACAGTTTTTGACAGTTGAATGTCTTTTTTTAATGGTAAAACATTTTACAGTTAAAAAGGCAAGTAAAAGTTTAATTCAAGCTGCTTTGATTACATTTGACCAATTCTCTCCAACAAATCTAAATGGTTTCCTTAATAGAATTTAAGATCTTTAATGCATCTAGTCAACAGCTTGTTGGTCTGTTTTGGAACAGGAAGTGACCATATTTGGATTAGAGTAAACACCCTGATAATAACACCTAAAACATTTCTATACAAAGATTTTGTTTTAATTTTCTATTCAATTTCTGTATAAATTCAGTAGAATTCCTTTAAAAACTGGTCTTCCACTGTTAAAAGGTTAAATCACTGAGAATATAATCAAAAACTAAGATTCAAAATGTTTATTTGAGTAATCCTAAACGATCATTTCTGATTTTCTTTTTTATTCTTTTATTATTCTACTCTCACAGCCAAAATAAAAACCAAATTACTAGTTCTCAAACACTTTCACAGCAGAATATAGCAAAATGCTACAACTTTTTTGTTACGAAAGTTAATAATCATGGAAAATCCCCCTGACCTGCAGCTGGCAATATTTCAGCATAAAGTCATAGAAATGAGGATAAGTCATAACGAGTCTCTGATAAAAAAAGCTTGATGTTTACAGTATTCTGTCCAGAATACTGATAGAGAGTTTGGAGTAAGAAAATATGCTGTGTGAAAAGTTTCAACAAGGATAGAGGTGTTAAAGTATTAAAAGTTAGAAAAAAAAGTGTATCTAAGAGTTTTGGGGTGATTCACTGCAGCTGGACCTAGAGCTTCAAAAGCGAATTTACACAGATGTTTTCAGAAAATGTCAAAACATCAGAACTGTGTTGAGATGTTGGGGAAAATGGATTGGAATGATCTGCTTGGATTCTGTGAGTATGTTTTGTCATAATCAAAATGAACGCAGTCATCTACATTGGAACTATAAAGTTGCACCCAGTCCACACTGCCAAAGGTGTCCAGTTATGGTTGGCTGAGAACCATGTGTGGAAATTCTCTCCATCATGTACGCTGTAAAAAACGATCTAGAAATAAGTAAAAAAAATCTTAAATTAAGTGTATTTACCCTTGATTTGAGTGGGTAAATGAGATAGTTTGTCAATGGAATGAGTATTTCTACTCTTAAAATAAGATAAATAGATGATATGCACTTGAAATACAACAATGTGATTGTTTTTTTCTTATTTTAAGTGCAAATTGTCTTGTTCCACTGGCAAAAAGTCTCTTCTACCTCCTCAATCCATGAACAAATGCACTTATTTTAAGAAAAAGAGAAATGAGCATTGTTTAGCTATTTATTTCTGATAATCAGTTATTGTAACTTGGAAATTTTAGTTTAAATCATAACCAAAGTTCATGATTAATTCTCAGCAGATGTGTTTGTGTGCAATCTGTATTGTGTATATCTGGGGAGGGGTGTGTATGGGGGTGTGTCTGTGTGAAAATGAAGTGGGATATGAGTGTCTCACTACAGAGTGCAGCTTTAGGAACAAACTTTTCTATAAGCCTTTTTGTTTTCTAATTTTTCTTTGTCCATCTACTAATAATTTCGGTATATCTGACCTACCATAGATAGAACAATCTATAGAAATATAACAAGGAAAATAGTACAATTTTCCTTTTTTGTATTTCTTTGAAAATGTTTCTCATTAGATTTAATTTGATACATTCTACTCATACCGGCACCCCAATAAATAAAGATTTATTTAGTTGTTCTGGGACCTTAAAAAATACATTTGTTTTTAAAGTCTAAAACCAAACTCTCAGGGTTTGGTTTCATATGTATATTATAAGTTGTTTAGTTTTATACACAGAGGGCTACTGTACAAAAATAATTCGGAAAAACCATGCTCTTATGACCATGTCCTTTTTTTCTCTCTTAGCTGGTTAAACAAGCAAACTTTTTTTTCTGATTGTTGATGTTTTCCTGGAGAACATTTTAAAAATCCCAAATGTCTATTTTGTTAAGTTATTGCCTAATCCTGTAGGTGATGACCCATAGTTATCAGGCATGGTGTCTCACCTGATGAGGTTTTGCAGTAGCTGCTTACTCGAGTTTCTCCTCTTGATTGACTCTGACATGTTGGCAGGGGTTGCAACTGGTCCGTGGCTCCAATTCTGATCTTGGTCCTGGTACCTCACTCTAGTGCTTCCTTGCTCCTGTTCTCCTTTCCCCAGTTTTCTGCTCTATTGCTCATGTTGGGTTCTCCCTCTCCACTTAGTCACAGCTCTCCCCTCCCTACATGTGGTTTTCATTGAAACACTTTGACCCTCCACCCCCCATCTTAACAGAAGTCACGTGACTCTCCCAAGGGGATAGTAAGATGATATCATAACATTGGATATGTGCACACTGTTGTGCATGTGTATATTGTAATTCCAGAGGGAAGAATAATTATGGAGGAAAACGTGGCTCTTCTGCTGAAGCTGCTTTCTTTCTACATTTTGACATCTTGTGACTTTTTGAAGATTCGGTTTGAAAGCAAAAATAAAAAAAGACCTTTTTCTGAATTTAAAATGGGGAACTCCAAAAGTTTTCCAATCAAATAACTTCAAGGTTTGTGCTCAAAAAAGAAAATATTTTTTCAGCAAGTTTCGAAGTTCAAGTTGACCCTTGGTGTTTTTGCTGCAGAAGCAATGAATGCCAAAAACACCATGCTGGATCACCTGTTAATGAGGCAACTACAAATATTTATGTTTATATTTATGTTTTTAATCTTAATGAAGGAAATGTTTTGTTAAGATTATTTTGATCAATTACATGTGAGTCTGTTTAACCCTAATAATACCTGCCTGTTATGTGTCTAAACTAATGTATTCAAAATTATATATCTAGTTAGGACAGTTGCTCTTTCAGGATATACAGTTATCATGTTCATAACAGCGATTTGGAAATTGAATGAGA